TTTCCCTAGCTCCCCATCGCCTCTAGGTCAAGTCAAGCCCCCTTAGCCTGGCATTCCTGGCCCCTCGTTCATTCGACTGCATTTTAAATGAGTGATTCTAATTTTAGATTAAAATTACACTAACCTCTTTCTTTGTGCCAGGTGCTGCCCAAAGATCTGAAGATGCCATGATGAATCAAACAGACAAATGTTAGGTATTCTAGATGGCTTAGCACTAATCTGAAACTTGATCCTGTTTCTAGGCACTGAGGACCGAAAGAAAAAGGGCGACTCCTTTCTTACCCTCACAAAGCTTCCATGAGGAAAACGGGAAGCAGAAAACGTTTAATTTCAGATTTCCATAAGTACTCTTAAGATAAAATGTAGGGTGAGGGGATGTGGGGTACTATTAATATAGAAAACTTCAAATACAGAAGTAGAACAGGACAGTGAAGTCCCACACACCCTTCACCCCAGTTCCCACAACCATCAACTGGGGGCCAATCCTGCTTTATCCACCATCCTGCTCACTTCTCTAAAGCAAATTGGAGGTGCCATCTTTGAAAGATCAGGGAGAGCCAGTCTGATTAACACCTATGCCAAGCTAGGAATGATGGGCCCAGGATCGGTTATTCAAAGATCAGAGGGAAAAGCATTTTCGGGCAAAGGAAACAGCTAAGGGCAAAGGCCTGAGGTGGTAAAGAGACTGTGGAGTGTGAGGGGAAGTGGCGGTGCACAGGAGTGGATACAGAGAGGTGAGTGAAGTCAAAGACAAGTAGGAACAGACCGTATGTATAGCCATGATGGAGTTTGGATTTAAGTGTGAGGGGAGCTCTTTGGAGAGTTTTGAGCTGAAACAGAAGTCAATTCCAGGACGCCTGGAATACCGCATTAGCTTCCTATGCCGTCAGCATAATCTGAGCTCTTCATTCCACCCGGAGGAGCCTTTCCCCTCTCTTAATTCTGTGTTTCAGGCACACTTAGCTTCTATCACTTTCTCAACCAAACCATGCACTACTTTTGGCCTGTGGGCTTCTGCCCTTGCTGTTCCCTCTGCCAGAAGGACTCCTATTCGAGGTGGCTTCTATTCATCCTTGGCTTAAAAGATCACCACCTCTTAGAAGCCTTTCCAGGCTGACGTAGGCACTTCCTCTGGCTCTCACAGCTTCTTATGCTCCACTCATCCCAAATCTGACCGCTCCGGGTTGTGGTTCTGATTTTGCGTAGATCTCTTTCCTTTGAGTGGGGTGCTGTGAGGATGGGGGCCACGTATGTTTCGTTCACTGCGGAAACCACGGTGCCCACCAACACAAGGCTTGACACAGAAGAAAGCAATAAATATTTATGCTGGGGGGGGTGGGTAATGGGTTTGTGAAAGCCACTAAGTGTCTTGGCCCTTGCGCCCCCTCTCCGGATGCAAATGACGCCAAATAAAACAAGGCCACCCGCTCCTATCCAGTCCGCAATCCATCAGCGCATGCGCTTTGTTCTGGCGCGCCCCCTGCCACCCCCTCCCCCCATATGCTAATCACGACTTTCGGGAGTACGGCCTCTCCGGGGAATATGCAAATCACCCCTTCAGGGCCTTAAGGCTCCCATTGTCCCGCGCTAAGATTATGCAAATAAGCCTCAAATCCAGGATCCTAGCCTAATTGGCGCCCCCAACCCCTAACTCATCTCACTTTCCATAAGGCGCGTTCCTGTTCGTTCACGCACGCGCAAGCCTCGCAGTTTCTAGTTCCGTCTAGCTGCGGACTGTACCAAGTAAACCTGGACAGCAAGGGGCAAAGTCCGGAAGCCCCTGCTCGGGCCTAGTCGATGGCCCGACTCGAAGAGCCCCTCTTCCCACTGTGCGATGGGAATGGTCCATCTCGCCGCGCAAGCGCCCTATGCTCTTCACGCGGCTGTGCTCCCTCCTACCCGATTTGCAGCGCAGGCGCAGAGCCCAGGCGTGCAGCCGCCGCCGCCGAGCCAGAGCGGGGGCAGCTAGTGCCGGTGAGTGTCCGGGATAGGGATGGGGTGCGCGGGGCATGCTGGGAAGCGGGCGCTACGGCACCGCTGCATGATGGGAGTGACGGCTCCCATCACCGGGGCGAGCCGGCAGCGGTCTTGGCCCATCATGGCTGGAGGGCGAGACCCAGGCTCCCTTTTCTCCTCCAACGCGTCTCTCTGCAGCCTGGGGCAGCCTGGGGAAACGGGACGCCCCGCCCTAAGGCATTGTGGGAGTCGGTCTGCTAGTCGTTATGGGCCTGGTGCATACTGGGAAGGATTATTGTAGCTCCTTGGGGCGAACCGGTCCGTTTTCTTACGCACCTTTCGCTGAGCATCTTGAACGCTTGGAGTGCTTTGACGCAGAGCACCTTGGAAGGTGGTCATTATAGGCCCAAGGCATCCTGGGAAGAATTGCCGCAGGGCATTGTGGGGACTGGTCCTTATTATGTTAAGGTTTTGCTCTGGCCTCCTTGCCTTTCCATTGTGGGAACGAGTGCCTTTTATGTTCTCGCAGGGCATCTTGGGAGTTGGTTGCTATAGGTTCGGGATATAGTAGGGTCTTGGCACTGTTGTTTTCTCTGTGGTAGTGAGGGAGCCTCATTTATAACCCTTTAAAATTGTGGAAGTCAGTATGGCCACCATAGTCATTATAGGAATGGGACTGTGCACCGAAGAATCTCCACCTGACATCTGGAATACTCTGGAAGGGTCCTCGTGTAATGTGGGGTTTGGGGAGGGTAGGCTGGACTGGTGAGCAATATCTCCTGGTAATCTCATGAGTAGTCCCGTCTGTAGTGTGTGGTTGCCAGGTAACATATAGAACATCCACTTAAATTTGAATTTCATTTATTCTTTTATTTTTAATGTTTATTTTTGAGAGAGACAGCGTGAGTGGGGGAGGGTCCGAGAGAGAGGGAGACACAGAATCTGAAGCAGCCTCCAGATTCTGAGGTGTCAGCACAGAGGCAGATGTGGGGCTCGAACTCAGAACTCACTGACTCAGAGATCATGACCTGAGCGGAAGTCGGCCATGTAACGGCTGAGCCTACCCAGGCACTACAAACTTGAATGTCAGATAAATAATCTTTTAGAAATGGTTGTCCCAAATACTGCTTGGAACCTGTGTATACTAATTTTGTCTTGTTTATCTGAAATTCAATTTAACCAGGCATTGTCTGTTTTTATTTACTCAATTTGGCAAACTTATCCTGGCATAAAGTAGAACTCCCCAGTTAAATGGGACCCTACAGGCAATAGGGTATTATAAGCACTGTCATCTGCCAATTATGAATCTTCGGTCCTTAAAGCCCAGATTCAGGGGTGTGTTTAGAAAGCTCCCTTGCCATTGATACCAGCCCTCCCATGCCCCAGCCTCCTCCAGGCTTCACTTCTGATTTTTTTTTTTTTAAGTGTTTGTGTTTGTTTATTTTTGAGACAGAGAGACAGAGTGGGGGTGGGAGAGGGGCAGAGAGCAAGAAAGACACAGAATCCTAAGCAGGCTCCAGGCTCTGGCTGTCAGCACGGAGCCTGACACGGGGCTCGAACTCACGAACCACAAGATCACGATCTGAGCCGAGGTCGGTTGGACGCTTAACCGACTGAGCCACCCAGGTGCCCCTTGACTTCCAGGCTTTGAAGGGATTGTGTATTTTCCACCATCATATACCCAGTACCCAGCACAGATCATGGCACAAAGAGGGGTAGCTGAGGTTGCCAGTCCTTTCACTGACTTGCTCTTCCTGGCTCTTTACTGCCAAGGAGTACAGCAGAAGACAAAGGAACTGCTATGTGTGTGTGTAGGGAGGTATTGGTGAAGAGGGTTAGGAAGGAAAAGTCAGAGAAGGCTCCTTAGAAGAGGCAGAGGTGATATTTGGGCTGGGAAGAAGTACAGAGGTTCTTGTGTTTGAGCTGGGCTTTGGAGAATGGAGAGTTGGAGTACTCTAGGCAGACAGTGGAGAAGGACATTCTAGACAGCAGTAGCAGGATTTGCTAAGACCCACAGATGTGAAAAGTCCTGGTGTGCACAGGGAGAAGTGGTACGTCTGGAATGGCTGGAGTGGATAGCAAGTGCTGTGAGTGGGAGCATTAACAACCACTGGTGATGGAGTAACTGCCACCTACCAGCAGTTTATACTGAATGAGCCCTGCTGAGTCTGCAAAAATTTTTTTCAGCTGAGGGACCATTTTATGAGAGGTAGAATAACATGCCTTCAAATCCTAGTTCACCCATCAACCGGTTGGTGTGACCTTGAGCTACTTGTTGACCCTCTCTGTGCCTTGGTTTCCTCATCCGTACAATGGAGATCATCTGTCTCAACATAGTTATGAGGACTACATGAATTAAGCCATGGAAGCCCTTTTTGTACCGAGAAGGAAGCAGGCTAGAGAGGTTAGGTCCTTCGCTTGAAGCTACACAGCTAAAATAGGGCAGATTTAGGGTTCGTACCCTAGACACCATCTTGCCATGGTATAGAACTAGGGCTGGCACGAACTAGTGTGCAGCCATACCACTTGTTCAAATATTGAAATACCTCTAGCTTGATTAGTACGTCACTACTACATCAAGTAATCCGTACCCCCAGCTGCCACTCTGAACCCCTCTCCCAGCCCCAGACTTTCCCACCGTCCAGCAACTAAAGGGTTAATAGCAGGTCTGGGCCCACGGTCCACTGTCAGTTCTCACTGGTACCCCTGCCAGTACCTGTTGCTGCATATTTGGAACATTCCCCTTCCCCATTCCGCTGAATAAGAACCGCAGACGGCTTTGTTGCCCAGATGGGGAAAACTAAGATCAATAAAGGATCTGGGGGCTATCTTTTCCTTTCCCCCAGCACTGAGCACACAGCTGGGCCCCCGGGAGGCAGATGCTGTGTAAAAATTTATTGAGTCACCACAGGCCTTTCCTTCCTCTGTCCAGCGTCCTGCTCTTCTCTGCCGACATCCTGCGTTGGAGAACTTGTGCCTGAGGTGTGGCTGTGGGGAGCTGGCCGGGGAGGGACACTGCCTAGCCGCTGCTCTGCTCCTGTCTCCTGTCTCCTCCCCTGGCCATGACAGAGACCCGTGAGCCAGCTGAGACTGGGGGCTATGCCAGCTTGGAAGAAGACGATGAGGACCTCTCTCCAGGTGAGGCAGCCTTCGAGATGGTGGCACTGCTTTGAACATCATCCGGGTTTGAAATTGGGGCTCCACTGAGAAATCCGGAGGGGGAGCAGCACCTTGTGTTGCTCAGTGTTCTGTTCTGACCGGGACTGTGTGCCCTGCTTATGAACTCCTTCTGGCTGAGACTTTGGGGGGCTGTGGATGGGCTAGGATTCCTCTTCTTAGGAGGGGTTCTAGATCGGCTGTGGTCTCCTCCCTTGCTGGGGGTTCTAGATCGGCCATGACCTCTCTCGCTAGAGGTTCTGGATAGGCTGTGCTCTCTCTCCTCTCGGGAGGGTCTGGATTGGCTGCCATCTCTTTCTTTTCTGAAGGGTCTGAATTGGCTGTGAGCTCTCTCTTTTCTAGGGGTTCCGGATGGTCTGCGGTCTCTCTCTTTTCTGGGGGTTCCGGTGTGGCTGTGATCTCTTTCACTGCTGGAGGTTCTAGATCGGCTGTGATCTCCTTCTTTGCGAAAGGTTCCAGATGGGCTACTACAACTTCTCTCCCAGCTGGGTGTTTTGGAACGTCTGTGATCTCTCCCCTGGCTGGGGCTTCTTTCCCTTCTGGGGATTCTAGATTGGTTATAGTTTCCCCCCTTGCTGTGGGTTCTAGATTGGCTGTGTCTTCTCATCTGACTGGGAGTTCCTTTCCGGGTACGGCTTCTTGCCCTACTGTGACTTCTCTTCCAACTGTGACTTCTCACCGTGCTATGACTTCTTGCCCTTCTGGGCATTCTAGACCAGCTATCACTTCGGGTCCTGCTGGGGGTGCTAGACCGGCTCTCACTTCGGGTCCTGCCGGGGGTGCTAGACTGGCTCTCACTTCGGGTCCTGCCGGTGGTGCTAGACCGGCTGTGACTCTGGGTCCTGCCAGGGGTGCTAGACCGGCTGTGACTCTGGGTCCTGCCGGGTGCAGTCTCCTGGGTGTAACTCTTGACCTTGCTAGATACTTCAGTTGGGCTGTAACTCCATTCCCTGCTAGGGGTGATCATCTGACTATAACTCTTTACCCTCCTTGATGTTGATGGAGACTGGCTGTAACCTCTCTCCTTGAAGAGATTTCCAGTGGGGCTGTAACTCTTTGCCCTGCCCGTGGTTATAGCCAGCCCGGAACTCCCCTCCATGCCTGAGGCTCCTGGTGGACTGTAACTCTTCTCTCCGCTCACGTTTCTACGCTGGTTCTTACTTCTTTCCCGGTTGTTTCTAGGCCGGCTGCAACTCTTGCCCCCACTCTGTTTTTTCCGGGAAGTAGGAGTTCTCACCCTGTTGGGCGCACCTGGGGTGCCACCAGGAGTTCTCATCCTGCTGGTAGTGCTGGCCCTGCTGGGTGCCCTCTTGGAGCTGTGGCTTCCCCTTCTTCCGGGAGTTCTGCCCCGGCTGTGTGTGCCCCTCTGCTGCTGGTGTCTTACCCCACTGGCCTTGCGGGCCCCGGCGTCGGTGCTGGCCTTGCTGGCCCTGGTGTTGGTGCTGGCCTTGCTGGCTCTGGTGTCGGTGCTGGCCTTGCTGGCCCTGGTGTCGGTGCTGGCCTTGCGGGCCGTGGTGTCAGTGCTGGCTTTGCTGGGCATTCTTGCCCTGCCGCGGGCTCGGGACTTGCTGCCGGACTGTTTAGAAGGGGCTGTCTTCGTACTTGCCCACTTGGGAGACTTGGAACTGCTTGGGCTTGTGACCGAGCTGGGGGCTGTTGATGGCTTGGTGGGCACTGAGGCGCTGTTGGGCTTTGGCGATTTGGCGCTCTTCAAGGAGGCAGGGGGCTTGGGAGGCACTGTGGACATAGAGGGTCCAGTGGACGCCGGAGACATGCCGGGCTCTGAGGATCTCGTGGGTGGAGAAGGCATGGTAGGCACAAAAGGGCTTGTGGTCCTGAAAGTCAAAGTGGACGTGAAAGACCTGGTAGCCGTGGACAACGACCTGACTGCCTTTCACAGGCCAGCTGCGTGAAGTCATAGTGGGCATTGAAGACGCTTGGAGGCCAGGTGGTGTGAAGGCCGCGTAGGAGGAGAAAGGGGTGGGACCCCAGCCCAAGGCCCAAGGGGTTTCCTCCGTGTTTTGCAGCCATTCGGCAAATACCTCCTGAGACTCACTGGGGACACAGCATTGCTGGGGACAGGGAGATGGGCCAGACCCAGGTCCTGCCTTCCAGAGGTCTCCAGTCTCCAGGGCACTACCCAGGTGATCAGGATGTGTTGGGGTTTGGATGGGGGTAGGGGCAGAGATTCCCAGACAGGAGATGCCAACCACCTGAGGAGTCAGGGAGGACCGCACAGAGGACGTGACGTGGGAGCTGGGAGGAACAGGAATTCATCAGGTCAGGGAAGAGCAGAGCCAAAGGCCTGGAGGGAGGGGGGAGACCAGGGCCTCAGGGCCCCCTTGTTCACTCCACCGACACGCCCTGGGCTGGGCAGTGTTGGGGACCCCAAGATGAGTCAGACCTGCCCTCAGGGGGTTCCCTGTCTGATGGGGGAGACCTACTGGGGCCCAGATGGCTACAGCCTCTAGGACAGTCCCCCAGGGAGATGCAGGGCCAGCGGGAGCCAGGGTGGAGGGAGCCAGTGCCATAGAGGACAGAGCCTGTGCGGGTCCTGAAGGATGAGCAGGAGGTCGCCAGGTGGCCAGCGTGGGGAACAGCCTTCCAGGCAGAGGGACCAGCCCACGCCAAGGCCTCAGGAAACGTGTAAAATGGCAGAGGGACAGCAGGACAGAGGCAGGAACAAGTAAGAGAGAGAGCCGCAGGGAGGGACGTTCGGCCAGCGTGTATAACCAATTCTTCTGAGCCGGGTGATGCCAGGGACCCAGCGGTGAGTCAGAGCAGGCCTGCCCGCCCTCTGGTCTGGTGGGAAAGGACTTTGTACAGGCACGGCCCTCAGGGTGAGCTCTTGGTGAGGACAGCCGGAGGGCAAAAGAAAGTGACTGGCTGCCTAGGATGAAGAGATCTGGGACAGCCTCACCGAGGAGGGAGGCTTCCTACCAGGTCCTAAAGATGAGGCAGAAAAGCGGGCTGAGCCATTCCCAGCAGAGGGAACAGCACATGTGAAAGGCCTCAGAAAAGGTTTGACAAGTTGAATGAATGCCAGGCACATAGAAGGTGTCCTAGATGCTAGGGACGCAGCAATGAACCAGAGTCCCTGCTTTGGGGGAGAGGCAGTAAACACACGAGTAGATGTCACCTGCAGTAAGTTGAGGAGAAGAACAAAAGCAGTTAAGGTTGTAGGGGGAAGGACTGCTGTTTAGACAGCGTGACCAGGGTGAAACTGAGAAGGTGACACTTGAGCAGACATGGCGAGGGGAGGGAGCAAGCCTTGTCCGTCTGTAAGAAAGGTAGCAAACGCCCTGAGGCAGGTGCTTGCCTGTGGGGTTGAGGAGCCCGGGGGCTGGCTCCGTTCTCACAGGACCCTTCTGGCTGCTGAAGGAAACTGAGGAAGAGAGGCCAGGATGGACACAGGCCAGGCTGTTGTGGTCCTAGGGGATGCTTTGGGCACACGGCGCTGCTGTGGTGGGTCCCTCCTCCCGGACCGGGCTCTGCGTGCAGCCTCCGTCATAACTGCCGGTGTCGCCCTTTCCTTTACGGTGACTTCAAATCTTTTTCCTTTTTTTAACCTAAACTTCTCCTAGACTTGTTCTACATGGCCATGACTTCCCAGCAATATATCTGTACTTGCGAATCAGTATTTTCATTCACTCAACTACACACACACACACACACACACACACACACACACACACTTATCAAAGTACACACGTGTATGGGTTTTAATTTGCTTGAATACCTGTTCAGGTGTTTGTCTCCTTAAGAAGATCTGGAGTTGGCCACCACCCATATTTAGCTTTCCCTGTTGGAGATGTGTGACCGGAGGCGAGTGAGTCGCCTAACTGCCCTGTAGCTCAGTTTCCCACTCGTCACTGAGGGATAACAACAGGACGTCCCTCACAGGGTGGTTGTAAGGATTAGGTGGGTTAATACAGGAGAAAAGGGCTCCTGAAGTAGCAGTGAACACTGCTGCTGGTACTGTTTTTATTGCTGTTACTTTGTCCTGCTTAAACCCCGGAGATGCAGTTCTCGCAAGACATTCGTTTGCTTCATACACAGACACTGAGTGTCTGCTGTGCGCCAGGCCGTGCTCCGTGCGACAGGGGTTCATCCATGGGGAGGGGCAGGGCTGTGTCCAGGCTGCCCCCTCCCTGCTGTGGTGAGTCTGAATGGGGCTCGGGGAGGGGGCACAGCCCTGTCCTCAGATGCCTCTGGCCTCTGACCCCCCCCACCCCGTCCATCCCCCTGCAGGCCCGGAGCATTCCTCCGACTCTGAATACACGCTCTCAGAGCCAGACTCTGAAGAGGAAGAAGATGAGGAGGAGGAGGAGGAGGAGGCCACTGACGATCCTGAATATGACCCTGGCTACAAGGTGAAGCAGCGCCTGGGGGGGGGCCGGGGAGGCCCGTCCCGCCGGGCCCCCCGTGCAGCCCAGCCCCCGGGCCCCCCAGCCCAGCCCTGCCAGCTCTGTGGCCGCTCGCCCCTTGGGGAGGCCCCACCAGGCACCCCACCTTGCCGGCTCTGCTGCCCTGCTACAGCCCCCCAGGAAGCTCCAGCCCCTGAAGGCAGAGCCCTTGGGGAGGAAGAGGAGGAGCCACCTCGGGCTGGGGAGGGCCGGCCGCTGGGGAGGGAGGAGGACGAGGAAGAAGAGGAGGAGGAGGGCACCTACCACTGTACGGAATGTGAAGATTCCTTCGACAACCTCGGGGAGCTGCATGGGCACTTCATGCTGCACGCCCGGGGCGAGGTGTAGGCAGGGCCCCCCCCCCAGGGAGCTTGGCTAAAGGGGTGGGGTGGGAGGAGGGGGCTGAGGAAATTGGGGTGGTCGCAGTGGTCATGTGGGATGGGGTACCGCCGATCTGTGTCCTCTTAGCAGTAGATTGTGTGAAGGCCAGAATAAAAGCCAAATTCTGTGTGTGTCGGTCCAGCGTGTTCGGTGTGTGCGCGCGTGCATGCATGTGTGTCTACGCTTGAGTGCGCGAGGCACAGGCCTGGGCATTTATGCCCCCATCCCCTGGGCTCCTCCCTGGGGGAACCTTAAGATCACTGTTGCTGAGAATACTAACATTTACTAAGGGCTTATGTTCAATGTGGCTTCTGTATATTTACTCATAGACCCGATGACGTACAGCTCAGCACAACAGAAGCTTTGTGCTCACGTAACAGAGTCCAGGGTGGGGGTTTCCGGTTGGTGGACAGCCCTTCTCCATACAGTGACTTGGGAACCCAGGCCATCTCTTAAGCCTGCTGTCGTCCGCCCGGTCGTGACTGAGTGGCTGTGGCCTGGGTCCTGCCGGTGGAAGAGGAAGGCGAGCCTGGAGAGGGTACACGTGATCTCGTACAAGCCCCCCACCTGCTCCCAGTTACGTTCCTTTGCTGAGAAATTAGTCACATGACCACAGTTCCCTTCAAGGGAGTCTGGGAAGGGCAGGTCTACCCAGTGCCCAGAGAGCAGAAAACGGTTTGTGGAGGACAGTTGATGTTCTCTGCCACCGCCGGAGAGCCCGCACAAAGAGGACTTTAATTATAAGCAGAGCTGTGCTTCCCGAGTGCCAAGTGCCAGTCCAAGAGCTTTATATATATTGACTCATAGAAGTTGTGTATCTAGGAACTTACAAAAATAGAACCTTAATTATAATTGCAGCTGCCATTTCCCCAGCACTTCCAGAGTGCTGCATTTTATTTGCATGAGATCATCAGGTCCTTAGAATAACTCTGAGGCAGGGACTGTGATCCATTAATTCATTTAAGCGGTATCTTCTGGGTCCCTGCTGTATGCGGAGCATTGGGAATTTACCAGCGAGTAACATAAAATCATTGTCCTCCTGGAGCTTCCATGGGGGGGGGGGGGCAGGCCCACTGGTGGGGACGGATAGTAACCAAGATGGAGAGAATGCTGGGTGATGGTAGGTGCTGAGGAGAAGAATAAGGCAGAGAAGGGAGAACACTTGGAACGGGGTTGCCATTTTAAATAGTATAGCCCTCCCTGAGGAGGTGACAGAGACCAGAGGGAGCGAGGGGACTGTGCACTGGGGCGGGAGGAGGCAGGAGCCTGTAAGGGCAGAGCTGGAGGGATGAGGGCACAAGGGAGCAGAGGGCCAGCTGGTTCCAGCTCTGTCGAGACTTTGGCTCTCGCTCTGAGATGGGAAGTACTAATTCATAGAAGTTTGGCACCAGAGTTCCTTTGAAAATAGAAGCCTAATTATAATGATAGCTGCCATTCACTGAGCATTTAGTGTGTGCCAAGCCCCGTTCTAAGGCGCTTTACGTGTGTTAACCCATAGCAGCTTGACAACTAAGAACCTTCAAGAGCTTTACGTGTGTTAACCCATAGCAGCTTGACAACTAAGAACCTTCAAGAATAGAACCTGAATGACTGTAATGGCCATCATTAAATCAGCACTCACAGGGACCAGGCCCTGTAAGCGCTTTGTGCGGACAATGGCATTGGATCCTTACGAGGTAGGGGCTGTTATTTATTTATTCATTCATTCAACAATGACATATTGAGCACCTTCCAGACACAGGCCCTCCTCTGGGAGCCAAGAGTAGAGCGGTGAACATGAGGAACAAGAATCCTTGCCTTAGTGGAGGTTCCATTATAGAGAAGACAGAGACTTCGATACTTCAGTGAAATATATAAAAGTATGAGAACGTTAGAAGGTGGTAAGTGCTGTGGAGGGAAACGGGGTGGGGAGGCTTGTGTGTGTGAGAGGCAGTTCCAGAGAGGGTGGTCATGGGGCCCTCAGGGAAAATGGGGCTTCAGGGAGAGACGGGGAGTAGGGAGGAGTGGGGCTCCTGGACTGTCTACAGAAACAGTGAATGCAAAGGCCCTGAGGTGGGGCCCTACATGGGATGTGGGTGGAAGACCACTTGGGCCATGAGACTCTTGCTGAGGAAGGCAGGGGAAGACCGAGGGAAGGGCAAGGTCAGGGAGAGGCAGAGGGCCAGGCCTTGCAGGCTGTTCTACCACTGTGGGCTGTGTGTCCAGGTCTGAGTCCTTGTCACAGCCCTTAGAGGCAAGGGTCTATTCTCATGACCATTTCTCAGCTGCTCCAGCTAGGGCACGCGGAGCTTGACTTAGCGGCTACAGGTCACGCAGCTAGTAAGCAGAGCCCAGCTGTGAGGGGCTGGACGAGTGGATGCGGGGCCGCACCTTCCTAAGCAATGGGCCACATCCCAGAAAATGGCGGCCTGGCTCTCCACAGCCACCGTCCGACTGGCAGGAGCGTGTTTGGTCTCAAAATGGAGGTTTTTTGGCTCTCTTGAAAATCGTGAGATCTCGATTGCTGAACCCACAATTCCCAAGGGGCAGTAGCTTTCTGGAGCCAAGTAAGGCTTACCTCCTGCCAATGGGCGTCCCCTCCTACGCGCCCATTCCCCCACATGTGGCACCTGGGCCCCTCACACCTTGCCTGCTTCACTGCTTGTGGTACCTGCTTGGCCACAAAGAGCCATTTGCATCTTGATGGCTGTTACAGGATCTCCTAGCAAAGCATCTGTCAAAGCCCACACTTTTCATCCTAGAAGCTCAGAATCTGGGAACCTGACATTTATCCACCCTTTGAATTGAGACTTTTATAACCATCACAGCTTAACATCAATGAACCGCAGACTCTTCGAAGCAGAAATTCACAGCTCATTAAAACACCACGTATGGATTGTGTTTTCTGGAGCAGTGTGCTTAAGCCCTCTTCTGCCCTTTGTTTCTTCTGGGCCTTGTTTGTTTGTTTGTTTTTTAAATCAGGTCTTTTTTTTTTTTTAGTGCAGTTTTAGGTTCATAGCAAAAGTGAGGGAAAGATGGAGATGTTTGCCGTGTATATCCTTGCCCGCACACAGGCATGCCTTCCCCTGCCGCCCCAGTCCCCACCAGAGCGGGCTGTCTGTCACAACTGATGAGGCTGTGTTGATACCACATAATCGCAGTTTACATTGGGATTCACTCTTGGTATTTGTTGTACCTTCTGTGGCTTTGGACAACACATAGTGGCCTGTGTTCATCACTATAGTATCATCAAGTATTTTCACTTTCCTAAAAGTCCCCTGTGCTCCCCCTGTTTATCCCCCCACACAATCCTTGGCAACCAGTGATTTTTTTTTTTTTTTTTTTTTTTACTGTCTCCATAGCATTACCTTATCAGGTTGTTACATAGTAGGAATCATGACAGGGCTTTCTAAGCATATATGCAGAGAATTATCCGTTCATCAGAAGTTCCTAAGGATATGAGACACTGGGAATCAAGAGACCTAGTCTGCTGCCGGGGGTGAGGGGCGGTCATTCAGTTCCTGACCGGGCCCTGGAAACCCAGCTAGGAATTCCAAAGAGGATTTCACACATGGGATTGGGTGCGCAGCCCATAGAAGGCTGAAAGCACAAATGTGGACAAGTGGGGCAACCGAGAGATTCGTGTCTGCACAAAGCTCCCACCTCTAGGACCGGGGTACAGAAAGAGAAGGGACATTACCAGAGCCCGACAGGAGCCTGGAGGACAGGCCACATGCAGCTGTGTCTGCACCGCAAGGGAGGCACGGTACCGTGTGCTGAGAGTGTAGAAACGCACTGGAGCCTGAGCTGCTGCTGCTGGAGGGGCTCTGGCAGAGGCCCAGAGCGAGGGGAGTCCCTCCCCCCTCTTCCTGTCTGCCTTCTGCCCAGACCTCTCTTGCGCAGACCTTGAGGAAGACTCTGGAGGGAGTCTGGGAAGCATAACTGCAGAAAGCCCAGCACCACAGAGCATCGCTGGGAGGGCTGCAGGCCGACAGACACTGTAGCCAAACAGTGGGAGCCGGCGAGCATTTTTTTGGGGCTTCCGTGGCGAACATTGTCCTAGGTGCGGGGGAAGTGAGGAAGACATACCGCTTGCCTGCCCTCAGGTGATTGGACTCCAGAGTAAGGACACAGATAATGACACAACACGAGGGTGATCATCCTAGGTGTTAAAGAGTGCTGGGAAGAAATAAAGTCGGGGTAAGGGTTGATGGTACTACTTTAGCCAGGCAGGTCAAGGAGGAGTCTCTGAGGAGGTAGCATGTGTTGAGTGCTGAGTGATGTAGAGACAGCCTTGCAAAGTTCTGGGTTAGAGGACTCTAGGCAGCGGGAACGGCAAGTGCAAAGGCCCTGAGGCAGGAGGCAGCCTGGCATGTGTGGCTGGAGTGTAGTGAAGGTAGAGCAGAAAGGGAGTTGAGACTGCTTAGCGGGTGGGGACCCCATCATTGTTGGATTTTCTGGGCCTGGGTAAGGTATCTTTGGATGTATTTATGGGATGCCATTGGAGGATTTTAAGTGAGGAGCAGTGTGAGCTGACTTACACACACAGGGTGGACTGTAGTCAACCGGAGGGGGCAGCTGTGGTGGCAGGTGCAGGGGGAGCAGTTAGGAGAGCGGCTACCGGAAGGGCCGATCAGACTCGGGGATTTAGTAGTGTACAGTTGACCAGTCCGATGGTAGCGGTGTAGGTGGGGGCTATAGGAGTCACGGCCCGTTTTAAGTTTCTGAGACTCCTGTTCGACATCTTCCAAGTGATTGTCTCATGGCTGGCGGGGGGGACGGGACGTCTGGGGTTTGAGCTGAAGATAAAGATTTAGAAGTCACCAGTGATGCTATTTAAAGTGCTGGGAATCTATGACATCTGGAGAGTGGAAAGAACAGGAAGAACACAGGCAGGGTGGCTGTCTGTCTCGGGGGAGCATGTGTGATTAGAGCCTTAAGTTTGGGCATCTGGTTTTGGAAACTTCTGGGCTGTCACAAGGTGCAGCGGAAATATTTGGCTTTGGTGAAGCCGCCTTTTTGGAAAAAGTGTCGGCCAACTGACTCCAAACCAGTTCCCCCACAAGTCACCCCAGCCAAGGGATCCAGGCTAGCGAGCCCTGCACAAATCTCTCTCCCTCTCTCTCTCTCTCTCTCTCTCTCTCATTCACACACACACCCCACCCCAACCCCTACCCCCACAGGTAGTATTTCCCAGGATGGGAATCCCAGTTTCCAGGCTCAGAGTAGATTGGTGTGTCACTTAGATGAGAGGTCAGCAAACTTCTATGAAGGACCAGATGGCCCTTGACTATTTTAATTTTAGGCTTTGTGGGCCACAGGGCCTCTGTTGCAACAACTCAGATCTGCTGTTCTAGGCTGCAGACAGGCTGTAAGTTATGCCGCCTGTGATGGAGACCCAAAATGATGGTGACTTTGACAAGATAGAGGTGTATTTCTCTCTTACATGGTAGCATGGAAGTGGATCTTCTAGAGCTGGGATGAGGACTGTGTTCCACGGAGTCCACAGAGGACGCAGGCTTCTGCTGTCTTGTTGCTCTGCCATGGCCCTGGATGGCTGGACAGCATGTCCGCACCCAGGCAGGAAGGTACAGGAAAGGCGTGTGAAGCTTGAGACCTCTACTCAGGAATACACCACACCCAGCAGCAAGGGACTCTGGGAAGTTGCCTTTGTAGCTACCATGTACCTGGCTAAAATTCAGGGGACACCGATCAGTCTCTACCATATCTCAGCTCTGGGGTTTCAGAACATCCCTCGGTTCAAATATATGATCGTTGTATGCAGGGTGTCCGCCATTGTCTCTAAGGGCAGGGCAGGTCATCCCAAGTCCCCAAGCACGTTCAGTGGTGCCCTGGTGGGACGCACCTCAGGGTTAGGCCTTTCAAGAGCTGAAAATAGGATCTTCATGGGAACTCTCCCAATGTTGGCCAAATACAACAGGAAACAGACGGTATCTCTGTTTGATTCCACACCAGATTCCCTGCAGGGCCAGTCCAGTTCTGACCTCAGCTCCCACCTCCCTGTGCCCTTCTTATATTTCCCGGGAATATCTGCTCCAAAGCCAGAGTTCCTGGTTTAGATATTTTAATGCAGACCTTTTCTGTTTTTAGATACTATTTGTTATTTTATTCCTGTCATCTCACCTACACCTAGAAAAAAATACTCCATGACCAGAATGGTACATAAAATTATTTAAGTGGGCAATAAATTATCGGGGGAGGGGGGGATGTGTATGCCCAAATCCATCCAATACTGTGGCCCCTCTGTGAGTGGGACAGACTGAAGAGGGGAGGTGGGGAGAGGGTGGCGAGGAGGCAAGGACTTGAACTGCAACCCCTACATGACTCAGAACATAGCTCCCAACTCGGCTGCCCATCCCCAAAGGCCCATGTTGCTGCACACATCTGGGACCCCTGGTGCCATTACCATCCGGCAACACCTCACCTTCCCCGCCCCCAACTCAAGCACAAATCCAGGGGAGTTTGTTCCTACAGCCCATGGCATCCATCTGGGAAGAATTAAAGGTGATTACACAGTCTGCAGCTAGTTGTGATTTCAAACTATTTAATGGGACTGAGGGAGATAACGACAACTGTCCCTTTTGCTTGCTTGCTTTTTTTTTTTTTAAACAAAAGATTTCATTATTGTCTAATTTCACTGTATCCCTGAAGGCCTTTGTGTCCTCCAAAGACTGGAGCTCCAGATGAGAATCTTCTGGGTCCTATTATTTATCAGAAGTCCTTTGCCTGTCCAGGGAGGAAAGCAAATCCCTCCAAGGCTCCCATCTATATCAGAGGTGGGTTCCAGCAGCCACAGAACCCCCACTGCCCTAGGGAGGGATTAGCCCTCACTCAGAGCTCCCCCCGGGCATGCCGGATGTAGTGCTGATGCAGCCCGGCCTCCTGGGCAAAGTCCTGACCACACTCTGTGCAGGCGAAGGGGCCAGGAGGGGTGCGGGTCTCATGCGCCTGGCGGTGCCGCCTCAGAGAAGCAGCCTGCCCGAAGGTCTTGCCACAGTCAGGACAGGGGAAGGTGGGCGAGGCAGCGGTGGGTGCAACTGGCGCGGAGGGCCTCGTGGCCGGGCCATGGCCACGCTGATGGGCGATCAGGGCCTTGGAGGAGGGGAAGGAGCGGGCGCAGGTGAAGCAGATGAAGAGGGCCCCCTGCAGCTTCTGGGCCACGAAATCCGCTGGGTGCTCCCGCTTCATGTGGCGCTCCTGGAACTTGGAATCGGCGAAGGTGATGAGGCAGCGGGTGCACTGCGGGGCCCCCAGGTGGCCTGAGGGACGTGGGGAGAGGTCGGGGGAAGCCAGCAAGAGTCACCAGGACCTCTCCCAAGCCCCAGAGTCATGCCAGCAATTCACATTCAGTGTTTACCACGTGCCAGACTCTATGCCAGGGCTAGACAGTGGGCCAGACAAACTATTACTGGACCTGTTTTATGGATGAGCAGACTGAGGCTCAAAAAGGTTAGGCAACTTGCCCATGAACCCATGCAGTCAGGACTGGAACCCAGAGAGTCTGCCCTTCCAACAGAGCCCTGTGATTAGAGCAGAGCCCCTGGAACCAGACCGCCTGGGATCGAATCCCCAATCTGCCACTTCCTAGACAAATACAAGTTTCCTCATCTGGAAAACGGGGTAATGAACCTATCGGTATCTATCTCATTGAACTGTCGGAAGGAGTAAATGAATTACTTTATATAAAGTGCTTAGAACAGTGCTACACAGTGGTTTGCAGTTACTGGTATTGAGAAAGAGAAGCACAGCTTGATAGCCAGGGACAGGCCTGGCACTCACAGCGAGGCCTTGGCGTCCTCCCACTGAACACACACGGTTTCACAGAACGTTATTGGACAAGGCCAGGCTGTGACTGAGCTGAACCCAGCCAAGACCGTGCCATAATAGTGCCCGGACACAGACAAAACACGAACGGTGTCCAGGCAACACGAACGACCAACCTCCCCATCCCTCCCGGCTATTAAGGGGACTGCTGCTGCCTTCCCACCTCCCTCCTAGAGAAGATTCAAGATTGCCAACCTATCTTTTGCCCCTGCTTACTGGCAACATCCAACCCACAGCAAAACCCTTCCTTGAACCCCTCCCCAAACCACCTACAACAAAAGCCCCAATCCTAGAATAAGTCCTAACACTGAGACATTCGCAGTGCCCCAGGGTCAGGGTGTCTGTGCTTCCTCAGCGCTATTAGCCTTAAACCCAACTTCTTCAAGGGTAGGGTGTTCCTGGTGGTCTCTGGCCCGAGGGCCTTGACAGGGTGGCAGCTCATTGTTAGAGATAATCTCCCTGCCTCAGTTCCCTTACCTGAAAATAATACTTAACCAAGTTCAAAGGCTCCGTCAGGAGGACTGAGATAATGAAGGTTAAACTGGTAGAACCCGGCCTAGCACAAAAGCATTCAACAGAAGCTGTTGCCATCATTCCATATCGGCCTGGCTACAAACCTTCCCTTTCTCTGTCGCTAATCCCCATAACAACAGCCGAGTCACCTGAGTAGCTGCAGCCTCTTCTGACAGGGAAACCCAGGCCCAAGTCACAGTTGGGTTTTACATGGACAGAGCAGGGTGGGTACATCTGAGCGGAGTAAGAGTAAGGGTGGAGTGTGGCAGTTCCCGCTAGGGCAGCTTCGAAACCATTTATTACAGCCCCTCCCCAGCAGGCAAGTCCCTGTAACGCCTTGGACATGGAGATGCTACGGAAATCCTTTTAGCTAGCGTCAGCTCCTGCACCCCACCCTCCTCTGGCCAGCAGCACTCACAGATGTCGCCTTCTAGACTGCGGGGACTCCTCTCCTTGGACGAATCCTGCTGCTCCATGGTCTCTTCGGGATGCGGGTCCTCCATAGTGGCTGGGATCCCTCTGGTCAAGAGAGTAGCACGCATGACAACAGTAAATCAAGTGAGGTCACTCCTCGGTCTACAGCTTTAAGGGCCCGCTAATCCTATGACCTTTGACGGGCTCTCCTCGCCCCCATAAGATACCATCTTCTGGAACTCTAACCGAACGGAGCTCTGCCCTAGAAAAGTTTCAACCCTCCCCAAAGGTTCGACTCCCTAGGTTTGTGACACCCTCAGAGCCTTCTCACCTGAAACCTGTGACCTCCTACATCAAACTAACTCCCTGAACTCCGGGCACGGAACCCTTGATCTTTTTGGACACCAGCTTCGACCCCGTCTCTCACGTGTCTTGAGGCAGGTAGTGGTGTCCAGGCTTTAGGTCGCCTGTTCCCCGGAGGCGTCATTCTCTGACATCCTGTAACTCTCCTTCCACCCTGAGCCCCCCGCCCCCCCCCCCGCGAGCCTTCGACCGCGGCGTCCCGCTGCCCCCAGGCACTGCCCTCGGGGTCCCTCCTCCCGAGGCGGGTAGCCCAGGCCTCTGCTTTTCTCCGGACACCAGAGGGCTGCCTTTCGTTGCGCCGGTCAGTCACTCGTCACAGCGCCGCCACCCGGAGGGAAGCGGGGTAGGGCCGACCGAGGCTCAAGGTCTCAGCGGCTTCCACGCCCTTTCGCCCGAGGAGCTTCTCCAAGCCGAGATCCCGGATGCCATCCGGCAGTGATGCAGTCGGGCCAACCGCGTCCTCGGAGTAACGGGAGGGGTCCTTCTCTATACTGGAGTGCGTTATGATGACGTGACACGACACCCTTGCCGTACAGACCTCAGCTTCTGGCGCACGTGCGGCTAGGTGCTCCTGGCGCGCAGGCGCCTTGGTTCCCTCATTGTTCGGAGCCCCGAGGGCTGCCGGCGCTGGGGAGCGGGCGTCCGTGGGTTGCTCTGCGCAGGCGCCGCGAAGGGCTGTATCCCCGAGGTCGCGCTTCCAAGACACACCCCCTCCTTAAAGGACTGACGTCAGGTAAGAGCCCCCGGAACGTGTCTGGACGTTCCCAAGTCCTGGCGCTCTCACCTCTTCGGCCTCCGTCCGCCGGACCCTAGGGGCGGGGCTTCTCCGCGGCTCAGCAGCCGCCGCCAGCTGCGCTCTCGGGTCTGCAGGCTTTTTCCCCGGTTAGTGATTCGGCAGGGAGGAGTGGGGGGCAAAAACACCTATGTGTCTGAGGGAGGAGGGGTGGAGGCCGGATCTTTGAAACAGAAAGATAAATGTATCCAGAAAAAGGGCGGACCAGACACCCGGGTCCCCGGGGAATAGATAGGGCCTGGGCGCCGGGTTTCTCCCTAGGAGTGACACCCAAGAATGGAAGGGGACAAGGTGAAGGACTGAAGTCTGACACCAGAGTGGGATGACTGAGAAAGGAAGAAGCTAGGTACTCCCTGACCCGTGTCCGCCCCACCCTTTTGATTTCCAGTTATGCCACCGCCGCGGGGTGACGTGACCGCCTTGTTCCTGGGGCCTCCGGGCTCTGGAAAGTCCGCGCTGATTGCAGCGCTGTGCGACAGGAATGTGGAGACGATAGAGATCCCCGAGGGACGGCCATACTCCGGCATCCCCAGCCTGCGAGCTGCGGGCCCCGGCCTCTTTCTGGGCGAGCTGAGCTGCCCACCCGCAGCGCCAGGGCCCTGGGCGGCGGAGGCCAATGTGCTGGTACTGGTTCTGTCCGACCCCGCGGGGAACGGGGAGCCCTTGGCCCCAGCGCTGGGAGAGGCAGCGCGGGCCGCCCTGGCCCGAGGGACCCCGCTGTTGGCTGTGCGGAACCTCGGTCCTGGGGATTCACAAAATGAAGACCAGGCCCGGGATCAGACAGCGGCCCTGCTGGACAGCGCGGGGTTGGGGACCGCGGCTCTCTTCGTGCTGCCGGCGGACTGCGGCAGCAGAGATGACTGTAAGGAATTGGAGCGCCTGCGGGTGGCGCTGCAGAGCCAGGCGGAGGTGTTGCAGAGGTAAGCGAGGAGTTTCGCGGTGGGTTGGAGACCAGGTCCTTGCCAGAAAACGAACGTTCTTGGAGATCCTCAAGACCTCCTCCCCACCCCCAGCGAGTTTGGGGCAGGCTTTGACAGGGCAGCTGTGGGAGGACCAGTTCTCGTCCAGGTGTCGCCCCTCACTGCAGGTTTGGAGGTCACCGAGGCTCCACCCCAAGCCAGTGCTTGGTGCTGGACCCTTTCCAGCCTTCTAGGCCCCTCCCCACCCAAGGGTCAGCTAGAGGTTCAGACCTGTTCTCCAGGTTCAGCCTCCTGTGAGCGTTCTGAGGTCATAAGCCCTACCTAACTACCCCAGTGAGAATTTTCGGAGGGGCCGGTAACTAACGACCTAATAGTACTCCCCCCGCAAAATTTTGAAGTAGGGCTTACTCAGCACACAAGCTTGTGATCCCCACGGAGATTTTACCCCAGGGCTCACTCTTTCGAGATCCTCAAGCTATACGGGTCCACACCCTCAGTGAGCCGTGTTATTTCTGGGTTTGCTCCCCCACTTCCTTTCTCTAATCCCATCTTGTTTCTGTGCCCACTTGCTGGCTACCTCCTGAATGTTTCCCCCCAACCCCTGGCCACCACCTATTTTATAGTCAAACTGAGGCTCCGTGCTTATCTTTTTCCTTAGCCACATCTTGATACCACAGGTAGGTGAGGCTTCCCCCTCATTGGCTCTCGTTCCCCTCCTTACACCTCGTCTCAGCAAAGAGTGCCCTGGTGACCTTGCTCCTGTCGGCCGGTGCTCCTCTTTCCTTTGGTCCACAGTACAGTTGCGAATCTTGACTTGGCCCGAGGTGGACCTGTGAGTTTGGCTTGGCCTTTCTGAATCCTGCAGATCCCTTGGAAAAGCCCACCCCTGCCACGCCCCCTCATGCCCAGTCCCCGCCTCCAGACTGAAGCCAGAGAATGATTTAGCGGGTTCCCCTTTTTGAGGCTCTTTTGGAAACCTGATCTCAACCAACCCCCCGCATCCCTGCTTTAAGTCCTGGTTTCTGGATGCTGTACCATCCGTCTGTCCCCTCCCTTTCCTGCTCCCTCTTCTTTCAGAGAGTATTCGGGGAAAACTCCACCCTCGACATCATAGTCTAGTCCTATCCCCCACAACACCGATGCCTTGCGTTTAGATCCTCTTCTGCCCTAATCCCGTCTCTCCCTGTCTCCTCAGGCTCTTGCCACCGGCTCAGGATGGCTTCGAGGTCCTAGGTGCAGCAGAGCTGGAGGCTGTGCGGGAGGCCTTTGAGACGGGTGGCCTGGAGGCGGCACTGTCGTGGGTTCGCGCTGGCCTGGAGCGGCTGGGCAGCGCGCGTCTGGACCTGGCCGTGGCCGGCACGGCTAATGTGAGCCTCGTGCTGAACACGCTCCTTGGGTTGGATGCTGGTGACCCGGAGGCCGAGTCTGTTTTCATGCCCCCGGGGCCCACGCCCTACCCGGCCCCAGAGCGTCCCAATGTGGTGCTCTGGAATGTGCCTCTGGGCTCCTCGGGCATTGCTGCCGCCCCCCATCCGACCCACTACGACGCCCTCATCCTCGTCACCCCGGGAGCGCCCACTGAGAAGGACTGGGCTCAGGTTCGGCCCTTAGTGCTGCCAGATGCACCGCTGGTCTGCGTGCGAACAGATGGCGAGGGCGAGGATCCAGAGTTTCTGGAGGACGAGGGAAAGGCCGAGAAGCCCAGCTGCGAGAGCTTAGAGAACGCTAGCGGAGGGGAGTTGAAGAATGCACGTGGGGAGGGAAGGGAGAAACGTGGCGCTGGATTGCAGAAAGATAGCGGGGAAGGTTCCGAGAAAGCAGGCAGCGAGAGTTTGCCGCGTGTTGGCGGTGGCGCGAAGAAATCGGGCAGTGGGGACTCAGGGCGCGCGGCACTGAGCCCTGAGGATGAGACGTGGGAGGTGCTGGAGGAGGCGCCGCCGCCCGTGTTCCCCCTGCGGCCGGGCGGACTCCCCGGGCTCTGCGAGTGGCTGCGGCGCGCGCTACCCCCGGCCCAGGCGGGGGCGCTGCTGCTGGCGCTGCCACCCGCGTCTCCCCACGGGGCCCAGATGAAGGCTGCGGCGCTGCGGGCCGGGGCGTGGCGTCCGGCCTTGCTGGCCAGCCTGGCGGCGGCGGCCGCGCCCATACCTGGGCTGGGCTGGGCCTGCGACGTGGCGCTTCTACGGGGTCAGCTGGCCGAGTGGCGGCGGGCGCTGGGGCTCGAACCCGCGGCGCTGGCGCGACGCGAGCGCGCGCTAGGCCTGGTTCCGGGGGAGCTGGCCGAGCGGACGCGCTTCCCGGGCCCGGTGACGCGCGCCGAAGTGGAGGCGAGGCTGGGCGCGTGGGCCGGCGAGGGCACCGCCGGGGGCGCAGCGCTGGGAGCGCTCTCCTTCTTGTGGCCCGCGGGCGGCGCGGCGGCCACCGGCGGCCTGGGTTACCGCGCGGCGCACGGCGTCCTGCTGCAGGCCCTCAACGAGATGCAGGCCGACGCCGAGGCGGTGCTGGCACCCCATGTGCCCGCGCACTGAGGGGTGGGATGAGGGCCAGGGCTTCCGGGCCCCCAGCGTCCCAGCTGCTTGGCTCCGCCAGGGGCTGAGGACTCCAAGTCCCGGTTAGAGGGAGGGAGGGGGGGTTAGGGGTCCAGACTCTGGCATGGGATGTCTCCGCCACTGAGGTGACAGCGCTGGGGGCCACCGCTCAGAGTCCCAGATGCTTGCAGGGGATGAGGGCTCTGACTGCTGATTGAGATGTGTGAGTTTTAGTCACCTGAGTTCCTGGATCCTGACGGGGAATAGTCTGGGGGACAGGACTCCTGGTTTCCCCGGGGACCACAGGGCATGACACCAGACTGTGTCCTGAAGGAAACCGAGGGGTTGGGCTCCTGGAAGGGGTTATATCTTGGTCCCCAAGGGAAGGAAAGCCGGATCTGTTGGTCATCTAGCCCTCTGGGGAGGGAAGAGGTGAAAGCCTGGACTCGTGCGGAGGAGGGTCTCCGGCCCACTAGAGATTCCAGTATGGAGGAAGGGGTCCTGGCCGCCCAGGGAGCTGGAATCTTTGGACTCCTGAGCCATGCGGGGGTATAGGGGCTAGGCTTCCTGGAGGAAGTGGCCCTGCATCCAGCATCCGGGCTCCTCAAGAGGCAGTGGCTTTGAATCTTCGTTTGGGTCTCACACTCCTGGCTCCCAAGAGGGCGGTCGGTGGACCTTGGTTTCTGATTCCTGGGTGGTGGGAGGTCTCCATCTACAGGGGAGAAGGGGAGGGGCTGTGGGAAAGAGCTGGAGAACCTTGGAGAGCCCTCTATTTCCTGGGGGAATAGAGAGATACCTAATATTGCCTAGTGACCCAGATTCCTTTCCCAGCTGTTGTGGGGAGGATGGTCCCACAAAAATGAGGGGGAGAGGCCTGCGGGTACCCAGAGACCTGGAATGAGCCCTTCTGGGTGCAGAGGGGCAGGGCCATACCTCAGAGGCTCTCTCACCAATCCCTTAGGGATCGGATCCCGGCAATTGCCTTTCTCTGCGTGAGTTTGCCTGAGGAAGGGACATGACTGTCCCCATTTTATAGGTGCTGAGTGATTCAGGGGATCTTTGGGGAGTCTCTTCCTTTGTCCCTCCCTCCTCTAGTGATTTCTATCTCCCTTTGGTCTTGATTCCTTCTGTCACTAAACCTAACCCTTTCTGGCCTTGGTATTTTGTACTCCTGCCTTTTTGGGCTAAAGCAGCCATAGTGCTGCACCAGTCCAGACACTTCTGTGTTGGCTACCTCAGGTGTCCCCAAGAGGCTGTGCCTTCTGGTGCACACAGAGTGCTGCGGAGAGCAGGAGACCCACAGAACAGCTGGGTCGCGTTCCAGACCGCAGGAGTGCGCCGTGAGCGAAGCAAAGGCAGAAACCTTAGTGCCTAGCTCTGTTCTAGACTGCCAACTATGAGTAGAAAAGATGCCACAGGTCACAGTTCTTCAGTTTCAAAAACCAGGGGGGACCTTAGAGGCCATTCGGTAGAATCTCTTTTACGAGGGATGGGGAGAAGAGCAGAGCCCAGGGAGGGCAGGCTCTAGGCCCAACAGCACACAGCAAGGTCCTGTGTGGTCTGGCCCCTGCCTATTTGAATTCCCTGCGCACACCCCAGCCCCCAACCAGCCTGATCTTCCTTCCAGTGCCTGGGTGGGCCACATCGGGTCCTACCCCAGGACCTTTGCATTTGCTCTTCTATCTGCCTAGAATGCTTAGCCCCCAGATCTTCCCATGACTGGTTTCTTTTTGTCAAGCAGGTCTCAGCTCAAATGTCCCCTCAGAGAGAGGCCTTCCCTGACCACTGTAGCTGACGTAGCTCACACATCCCCATTACTCAGCCAGTTGATATTTCCCTTGTAGCAATGATTACTGTAGAAAATTGCCTTTATTTATTTATTTATTGACCTGTTTAATAGCTATGACCCTCTTGCCTGCCCTGTCCTCTGCTGTAACCCCAGTGCCTAGAAGAGTGCTTGACACACAGTAGGTGCTTGTAAATATTCATTTTAATTCATTAATCCGCGGCAGGCTGGGATGTGGATTGTCGGCCTCTTGCCACAGGACAGGGAAAATGAGCGAGGTGGGGGAGAGAGAGAGAGAAACAAGGAGAGAAAACTCCTGTCTGAGGTCAGGGGATCTGGAAAGCAAGCCCGGCTTTGCCACTGTCGCTCTGGGTGACTTGGACCTTTGCTTTATTTTCCCATCTGTGAAATGAAAGGGGCAGACGAGAACCGTAAATACTTCCAAGATCTTATTTCCTTTGACGGCGGGAGATAAGGGTGACTGCTCCGAGGGGCACTTGGGAGATGGGACCCCTGTGTCCAGCTTGAACCCTTCCTGGTGACACAGTTTATCCCATCAGTGTTGAGATGGCCATGGGGCGTCTGGCTGGCTCAGCCAGGTAAGCGTCCAACTCTTGATTTCAGGTCCCACCTCGGGCTCTGCACTGACAGTGGGAGACTGTTTGAGATTCTCTCTCTCTCTCTCTCTCTCAAAAATGAACAAAATAATAAAATTAAAGGAAAAAAAGGTAAAAGGAGACAGGGTGAAACTGAGAATATGTTTTACTTAACCCAGTATATTCAAAATATGATTTCAATATGTAGTCAATATAGAAAAGAAGGAGACAGGGGCCCCTGGGTGGCTTAGTCGGTTAAGCGTCCGACTTTCACTTAGGTCATGATCTCGCGGTTTGTGGGTTCAAGCCCCGCGTCGGGCTCTGTGCTGACTGCCAGCTCAGAGCCTGGAGCCTATTTCAGAGTCTGTATCTCCCTCTCTCTCTGGCCCTCCCCTGCTCACGCTGTCTCTCTCTCTCTCTCCTAGAAATAAATAAAAATATAAAAAAAAAGAAAAAGAAAGAAAAGAAGGAGACATTTTATGTCCTTTTATGCTGTCTTTGAAATCTGGTATTTAACATGTCCAGCACATCTCGTTCAGAAATTTTCATCAGAAGTCATTCTGTTTAGCTTTCCTAAAAAGCTAACATGTGGTTGTTGGAGAAATAGATCCACATACCCAAGCTGTCCTGCTTATATTGAACAGTTTTCCAATAACGGAGATGTGTATTAATTTTTAATGAAAAGCAAATAAAACTTAAAACTCCGTTTCTCAGTGGCACTAACCCCATTTCAAGTAGCCACACGATCTGGAATGCTTGCGTTATCCCAGGAAATTCTCTTAGCATAGCTCTAGGGTCAGACAGCCCAGCTGACATTGGGGTGACGTTGGGCAAGTCACTCAGCAAGTGGCATCTACCTCACGGGGTAACTGTAAGAATAGTGTATGTACAGATGTACACGCACACACATGTCAGCACACTGCAACCCTCTGGAGGAGCCTGGCCCACTTGAAGCTCAAATGTTAGTCTTGTCCATACTCCCAGCCCCAGGCTGAGACGACTCCAGCCCAGGCGCCTCCGTCTCACACCCAAAATGCCTTTGCGCACAGAGTGCCCACCTTTTCCGCCACTTTCACTTGTCTGACACGTCTGCCCTGTGCTTCCCTACTCCAAACTCCCTCTGCCCTCATGCCAATGGAGATCATGCCAGAGATCCTATCTGAAAAAGCAAGACCCAATTGCGTTTGCCCGTGTCTGTTGGGGAGTGCTGTGTTTAGTGCTGTGTTTATATCGTGTATCGCCGCCCTTGGGTGTCACAGCTAATTTGGGGGGTGGTTATCTTTTAATGACTTTGGGCGGGAGGCATAAGGTTGTCAGTGAGGCGTCTGTCCCTGGCAGCATCCAAGCAGAAAAGACTAAGGCTCCTTTGAGAGCTGATTGCTGGCTCCCCATGGGGCATGTCTATGTCATACTTCTGGCTGAAAGACCTTCGAAGGCAAGAAGCAAATGTATGCTGAGTCTTGGCATTGCTGTTGCTAAAAGCAGAATAGGCACAAAAAAACTTGAGTGGAAGAGACAATCTCATCACTTCAGCTGAGTTTCATAGATTTCTGGGTCATGATGAAGAGACTTGTATCCATTGGGGTGGGGAACCATGGAGAGCTAATCAAGGGTGTGGTTGGCCTGTGGTGCTTTTTGGAGGAGTGAATAAAGATGAGTAGAAACCCCACTGCATGGTCTCTTCTTTGGGGGTTTGAAGGGGAAGGAAGATGCTTGGGATTTTGCATGGGTCTGAGGGAGAAGGGGACCATGGGTGGAGGCTCCTGGGTCCTGGGGGAGGAGGGAAGGTGAAGGTCTGTATGGGAAAGAACCCCTTGCTGGAATCCAAAGACTCCTATGCCTGAGTCCCGTCCCCCCACCCCCACCCCCCGCAGGAGCAGGGGAGAGGGGAAGGCAGGTGGAACAATGACATTTAGACCTTAGGAGCATGTGATAGTAAAGCATCCTAGTTCCGGAAGCAGCTTGGCCCATTAATCCCTCCAGTTTATTCAGCTTCTCTGTAGCTGTGTCCCTGGAGAGTCCCTTCTCCTGACTCGAGACCTGACCGCATGATTTGCCTGACCACAGGAACAACAGCCAACACGATAAAGTAGAGGCTTGAAAAGGGCTCACATATTAGGGCTTCCTTTCTCACCGCCCTTGGAATTCCTGCCACCACTGGGATGCCAAGTCCAGGCCAACCTGCTGGGTGAGTAGAGGCAGGTGGCCCAGTCAGCCCTGACACCCCCACCGCCAGCCAGCCAACCCTCTGAAGCCGAGCTGCCAAGTTGACGGGAGCCGAACCCATCAGAAGACCCACCCAGCTGATCCCCAGACCAAACTGCAGAATCATGAGCTAAATCAAAGGCAATTGTCCAAAGCAACAAAGTTTTGGAGTGGTTCATTGTATAAAGATACAGCCAAAGATCACTGATGCAGGCTGGTTCCCCATCTGTGCTGTGGTCCCTTCTCCCCCTCGACCTGATGATCAAAACCTTAAGCTCTGCCACTTCGTAGTTACATGAACTCCAATGTAACATCCATCCTCAGAGTCCTTGGAAACCAGGGCCAAGAATTACAGTCCCTGTAAAAGGGAGCCTTTATGAAGATAAAACGAGAAACACCTGCTAGGAGGCCATGGCAGCATTTGTGCCTTTTACAAAATATGTCCCTAACCCCATGTGGGGATTGGGGGCCCATGTGATTGACTCCATCCCATGAGTTGTGTCAAGTCACATCTGGGTCACGGCATTTAATCACCCGTGTGGGACCTTTCCGGTGCTCAGAAATCAGCGACGCTCGAGCTGGTGGCAGCTCTATGATCACTGTGAGCAGAACCCCCCTGTGGGCAGCGCTTGACATGTAGAATGAGGGAAGAATCGACTATTTGTGAGTGGGAACTTGCTCAGCAAACCCTACTCCTCTCCCTCCCACTGGAAGGGGAGTACACCTCCTTGCCCCGTGATGTTGGCTTTGACCACAGGATTGCCCTCACTCAATGGAATGTTAGTACACCTGACCTCAGCAGGGGCTTTTAAGGCACTTGGTTATGGTGCTCCTGTGATCTGCTGTCAGAACGTTAGCCAGGGAGCCACTGATCCCAGAATTTGTATCCTCCCCCCAAACTGGAGCCAAACCAGCTAACACACAGCCAGACTACCCCAGCCACCCACAAACCCTCAGCGAGAAGAATGCTTGCTGTTATGGTTCAGTTTGGGGATGGTTTGTTACACAGCGTTACAGCAGCATTAGTCGACTCATACAACTTTGTTGCATTAAACCACTGAAATTAGGGACTTGTGTGTTACTGTAGCATAATCTGATTGATGACAATGCTTAGCGCCTTCCAGGTAATGGCCACTCATTAAGTAGCAGCTGTTACGATGATTACTATTTACAGACGTATTGTTTCTAGAACCAACATTGTCATAAAGGCGCCAGGCACTGCACTAAGTGCTTTTTGAATTTTCTTTCATTTGATGCAACAACCCAGTGAGGCTATAACTATTAAGACCCACATTTTGCAGATGTAAAAACAGGCCAAAAAAAAGGGAGAGGTTAATCAGGAGAGGTGATCATAGACTCTGAGGTCTGCCCCTCCCTAGCGGTTTCACCCAAAACAAGTGACCACAACCCGAGCCTCAGTTTGTTCATCTGTAAAATGGGGATGGTAATATCAACTTCACAGAGTTGTTGGGATTATGAAATGAGGTACAGCGTGGAGAACACTCTGCACAGGGGCCCAGCAGGAAGCAATCCTTTAATAAATGATGGGGTCTTCTCTCCCTTCCTTGCAAAGAGGGGGTTGCCAAGGGTTAAGACCCCTGCTTTTTGCCCCCTAGCTTCCTGAGATTATCACATCACAAGAACTCAGGCTTGCTTTGTTAACCTATTTAATTTATAGGCACTTGGGGAGGTGTAGACAGAGGACAAATGGAGACTTCAAGCCACATACTCCTCAGTTCTTCACTCTGCCCTGCCAGGGGGCTGGGAGGCTGGAAGGCAGTCGGCTCGGCGGAGGAAGTACAGATAAGAGGCTGAAGGTACCTGGGCCCCAGCCTTGGCGAAGCAGGCACTCTCCGTAGCACAGCCCCGAGTGGCAAATTTGGGAGTGATGAGACCTGGGAAGGGGGTTTCAGAATGGAATTGGCTCCTAACTCCTCCTTCCTCATGACCCCTTCCTCTGTCCCCCACCCGTGCCCTCACCCAGCAACCTGGAGCCACCACCTCCCCTGGAACCTGGAAGTATGGGCCTCCGGTTCTGAGGCCCCCGTCCCCTTCCCTAGAGATCCAGATTCCCCTCACCAGCCTGCACTTTGCCAGCGAAGTAGACGCAGTGGGTTTCCTGGCCAACACAGCGGGCTGCTTGGGTGCCCGGGCATGTCTCCTGAAAGGGTGCGATGCAGGCTGGGCACTGGAGGCCGTTCTCCGTCCGATTGTTCGGGGGAGCTGGGGAGCAGAGTGGGGTGTAAGAGGCAAAGGGAGGATTCAACCCTTCCCTAACCTCACAGCACCCCTGGGGGACATGGGTTGCTAATGGATAATGGACGTCGCATCTAGGGGGAAGGACATAGGGTCGCGGCAAGCGAGTTGCCCCAGTGTTTCAGCGCGGGCCAGAGCCAGGCCGGGGCCCACACCGCGGGCTCCTGGCGGGCACTTACGGGGCACGGAGCCGTGGTTGCAGCCGTCGCTCTGGCAGCAGCGCGTGTTGGACACCATGTAGTCCTTGGGGCCCATGGTGGTGGATACGAATCCCGAGTAGCAGTCGCTGAACTTCATGCAGGCCTTGTAGGTGTTCACTGAGTGGCGGCCCTCTGAAGAATGGGGGGCAGGGAGGGCTCCGGCAGCGCCCGCTGGCCCCACTCTGGCGTGGACCCCGGCCTCGGGGTCTCTCCCAACCTGGCCCTCCCCACACCCCGCGACTGCCTAGGGTGGTCTCTTCCAGCGCCCCAAAGCCATGCCCCTTTATCTGCCTGGGGTATGGTCTGGGTCGGTAATTAGGTGACGTCCCCTACACACACACACCTGCCCCATAATCATAGCCCCCAGCCTTGATGGTCTCTTTCAGCAACCCAC